AACATGCACCTATGGATGAGGACAGTGGGTGGGGAGTGAGGGCAGAGGGTAGGGCGGGAACTGGAAGGAGGGGAGTTATGGGGGGAAAAAAGAGGAACAAATGTAATAATCTGAACAATAAAGATTTAATTAAAAAAAAATAAATAAAGTCGGGTACATGAAGAAAGGAGCTACTTCTGAGAAGTTATAAAAGATACGTATAAGGCCATATGTAACTTATACAGTGTAAGAATAATAAAACAAAACCTGTATTCCTAAAACAGTACCTTGAAGTTCCTGTGATAAAAAGGAACTTTTCTCTTTTTTAAATATATTTTTATTTATTTCAGAGAGGAGGGGAGAAGGAGAGAAAGATAGAAACATCAATGATGAGAGAAAACCACTGATTGGCTGCCTCCTGCATGCCCCACGCTGGGGATTGAGCCGGAAACCCAGGCATGTGCCCATGACCGGAATCAAACCCAGGACCCTTCAGTCTGCAGGCTGAGGGCTCTTTAGCCAAAACTGGCTAGGGCAAAAAAAAAAAAGGTATTTTTCAATAGGAGGATGACACCCTCCCCCACCTCCAATGCAGGAACCACCTGGGAAGTGTTGATACTCTGGGTCTCCTGTCAATGGCACCAGCCTCTGAATTTTAAAAATAACTAAAGCCAAGATAACTGACCCCTCTTTTTTGTACCAAGCCCCATATCTAGCACTTTACAATTAGTGTCTCAATTCTCACAGCAACAATGTCTCCAGTCACAGATTTGCAGATGGTGAACCTGAGACAGAGAGTGAACTACCTTCTCCGAGGGGGCCAGGTTGGTAGGATTGGCTCCCAGGTCTGTTAACCTAGAGCAGGGGTCCTCAAACTTTTTAAACAGGGGGCCAGTTCACTGTCCCTCAGACCGTTGGAGGGTCGGACTATAGTTTAAAAAAAAAAACTATGAACAAATTCCTATGCACACGGTGCATATCTTATTTTGAAATTTTTTTAAAAAAAAGGGAACAAATACAATATTTGTATTTGCATGTGGCCCGCGGGCCGTAGTTTGAGGACCCCTGACCTAGAGAGTCCAACTTTGCAACCACTGAACTCTACTGCCTCCCAAGCCTGCTAAGGCTATCAGACAATTCTTGAAATTTTTAAATCTCACATTTGTAGGTAACTTTCTTTTCCCAGATGAACATGTGAACATGTACATCATTTCTCATCCATCAGCAGTGTGTGTGTGTGTGTGTGTGTTCTTTTTACTTTCTCCATAATAAATCTTTTTTAAGTTGTCTAAATAACTCAAAACACAACAGGCCTATTCTGTCTTTTAGATCTTCCTGTACCCAAATGGATTTTTTTTTAAGCAGCTTTGACCTTTGGGACCCAGCTGGAATTTTTTTATATTTTAAAACTCTGGACAAATGATAAAAGTTTCACCTGCTGTCCACTTTCTCTCCCTGTGAGTCAGAGGCAGGTAGTTAGAGGCAGGTACTTTTCTGCAGGCGAATAAATACAGATGAAATTTCTTTGTAGACATACCATTTTGATAGTGATCATTTTCTACCTGGATTTTCATCTTTGAAGTTCAAAAGGAAGCTAGAAAAAACAGTTCAACTCAACAAACAATGTTTGCATGGTTCTCCGGGGATAAGTCTAAGCCTAAATTGGATTTAAAAAGCAACTTCACTTAAAGGGATCTGTTTCTAAGAGCAGCCAAAATGGTAGGAGTCGTGTGAAAGAGTTCCGAGAACACCGTCTTTCCCTGAATCCAGAGTCATACATCTAATCTGAGTTATTCATCTATTCCGAATAATTTCTTCTGCTCTGTGTTCTCTACTCCTATGACAGCTTGAGGTGGTAAAGTTGATTTACCTGGCCAGCGCGGGCATCAATGGGCTGCTTGTAGCATGTCTACAGGATAACGACAAGTAGATTCAGATTATTGGGTAACTTATCTTAACCCAGAATACATCTGGTTGCCAGATAAAATGCATGCCAGCTACTGCATGGGAGTTGTGTTGCTTTATTCAAATATTCACAAGCAATCAGTAGCTGACACACTCACTGATCTTTTAGAATAGAAACGTCCCCAGAGGCATGTTTGAAACAAACATGTTAAACTAGTTTTAAGAACTGTTTTCAAAGAGATCCAACATTTACACTTCTGTGGTCAAAGGAAAAGTCTATTGTTTGACTTGTTCTCTGTGACAGACCCTTTTTAAATATATACTTACCACCTGCAGAACAAGTATTATCATTATCCATATCTTAGTGATGAGGACACGGTCCAGAGAAAGAGGCTGCACTGCCAAGGACATACAGCTGATGTCTAAACCGTGGGCACCACTTCCTGGGCTCTTTTTATCCCCACCAAGTTTATTAACCTTTTTTTT